TTTTTACTAAAAAATATTCATTTCTTCCGAAATGAAAATTATTCAAGTATATCAAGAAAAAAATTGAAAAGCAATAGAACTAATAGCGCATATATTCAACATAATTTATTCGGAAAAAATACATAAAAATAATTAGGTAAAGCTACCATATTAATTAAATGTTGAATATACTTCAAGAATAAAATATACGTTTTGCACTTATGTTCGCAAACAAGTGAACGATTTGTGCTTTTACCTCGTACACCTGTTCGCCAATGAGCCATCAAAATGGATCAACTAATTATGATCCCTTTATTGAGACTGTTTGGTTATGTGTTTGAATTTTTCATCAGTTTTATTGAACTAATCCTTTTTCTTATTAGCATATATTTTATTCTTAAAAATATTCAAGACATACAAATCTACTTATGAAACGTTCTAAAAGTTTTGTGATTTTTTTAAACTAACGAATTGGTATGTCACAAGCACATAACTCTTTCTCACATTTCTCCATTTGATGCGTTCTATTAGTTTCCAGGAAAGTTCTTTCTTTCGACTTTATTGGGAGCGGGGTGTAATGGGCATAATGGGCATAATGGACATAATGGGCACTTTTCGATTTCCAGGAAATCGATTTCAATTTCCCAAAACTGCAATAAAGCTTTTGATAAACGATACACAGGTGACATTTCACGCAATACATGTAGGAGTGCTGCTATATTCCAGAGCAAATTCCACTTAAACTGATAGGAGACACCCTTGTTAGATACGCATCAAAAAGACTTTCTTCTCGTGCGTATATGTATATGTCGTATCGAAGTTACAACTCCGACAGAGAAGTGCGTCTGTATAGATGTGTGTGAGGCGACAGTGATGGAACTCCTTTCGCCACACCCGCACCAGCTGCGATGATGTGTGTGTATAGATGTGTGAGTCGTCAGTGATGGAACTCCTTTCGCGGCACCCGCACCAGCTGCGATGATCTGTGTGTGTATGGATGTGTGTGTGTATGGATGTGCGTGTGTGTATAGATGTGTGTGAGTCATCAGTGATGGAACTCCTTTCGTGGCACCCGCACCAGCTGTGATGATGTGTGTGTGTAGGTATGTAGGCAGCCCCTCCCGCCCCCCTCCCCCGCCTCCTTACTCCTTTCGCCGCACGCACACCTGCTAGTGTGATGTGTGTGTCTAAAGATATGTATGTCATCTCCCGCCCCAACTCCTTTCTGCGCAAGTAGTTGAATAGTTGAAGCAAATTTTCAATAAATGAATTGAAGTTTCAAGTGTGACATGTATGTTCTTTGTACGCCATTAGTCTCGGTTGCGGATGTTGTTGAAATAGTTGAACGTGTAAAATAATTTCTGGTAGTTAAGTCAATGGTATCATTTTTATGTTGTTCACTCAATGACCATTTATTCGCATTATGTGAAAAGATTGAAAGATTTGTATTATTTAATGTGTAAGATATTAATGCATGATTAAGAATAGAATCGTAATTGATATTATTATTTATTAGCATATCATCATGTTGTTGATTTTGTCTATTGAAAGGAAAATCGAATGTTCTTAGTAAAGGATTATCTTTTCCAAATTTCGTTGCTCTGTGTAATGTGAATTATTCATTATTATTATAAACATGAAGATCCAGTATCGATTGGCAAAAGTCATTCGAATCAATTGAAAATAAATTCTGAGGAATTAGGTGAATGACGGCAAAATAAGGATACTTTTGAATGGATGCTTTTGAAAGTTATTGCAAGCTATATTAGTTGCTGGTATTGTGGAATTAAAGAA